AACGGACTGCCGCGCAGTATACTCGTCCTTTTATTGATAGACGGATATCTCGCCTCCGCCAAAGGTGACGTAAGTTGGCAAAAGCCAAACGAGCTTTTCGAATCCGTGCTGAGATTTCGTCAGACACCAACCCATTAGGGCTGATCAGACTTCCAAGATAAGTGAAGTTGTCAACGCGTTCGACTACTTCACTCCCTATCCTTAGTTTAGGTGTTGATGCAGACCAGTCCTGAAGCAACAACTTGCATTTAGAGGGAGAGAAGCGCATTCCAAACATTCTGGCATTGTTGCTTAGTGCTACCAGAAGACTCTGCATTTTGTCAGCGTCTTCACCAAACAGGACTATGTCATCTGCGTATTCTAAGTCGATAAGTGGACCTCCTGGAAGGAGATCAATACCCGAGAATTCAGTCGACGAGAGTGTTATTTCCATCAATAGGTCAATGATGAAGTTAAACAAAAATGGAGAAAGTGGTCTCAGTGACCTGAGAGCGTGACCGCAGTGCCCAAGGGACAACTGCTTGAGGCCGGTCGCGCACGGCCTTTTCGTGGAAGGTTTTCGACGTGTTAGCTCCGTTCTTCAAAGGGCCTTACCGCCGGAGACGGAGATCCGTGAGGTAAGGTGAGGTGTGCATTTTTAGGGTCGACCTTTTCTAACCCCACCCCTCCTTGTGGGAAGGCAGCATCGCTGTCATGCTGGTTGTCTGAAGGAAACACCTTACTGCTGTCACACCTCTGTACAGTCAGCAGTACGACTTCGCCTTCGGACCTTGGGTTTGTTGCTTTTAGTCTTACCGCTCTTCAACCGACCTGTCTGACATGGTAGGACCTTGAGGAACAGTTGTTCCAGCCAGTATAGCTCGGTTGCTTCATCACGATAGGCAAGCCCGACCACCACGTCAAGGTAGCAACAACGGCTTCATCCACTGAGCTACTGGTCGTCAGTTGTCGAAAAAGTAAAAAAAGTGAACTGATGAACAGCTAAGTTACAAAAAGTCTGATTCCTAAAATTTAAACATTTAGAATAAATAGTTCAGTAATGTACCGTTCAATAATTTATTGACTACAAGGTTGAGTTATCAATTATTACCCTTAATTTTAAGGAATTCTGTGTTTATTCATAAATTTCGATGTTTTTAGATGTTCATTGATGCCTTATGTGTTATTACAGTGGTTACTTACATACGCCTGTTAACACTCATGGAGCAGCATAGACCGCTCACCAGCATTCTCTATCCAACTCTGTCCTGGACAATTCTTCCCAGTTCTTTCTAGTTGTTATTCATCCTTTTGATGTTTGCTTCTATTTCCCGACGGAATGTGCTATTCAGTCTTCCTCTTTTCTGTTTCTTTGCAAAATTTCAAGTTAGCACTTTTCCCTTGATGGAGTCTAGCAATTTCCGTAATGTATGTCCTATTCACCTCCATCGTGTTTTCTTAATTTTCTCCTCAGCTGGGAGTTTGTTTCTCCAAATGATATTAATTTGTAACAAAGTATGCCTTCAAAATTACTACAATATCCCTACAAACTATTTATTCTAATCAGTATATTTAAATGAACTAAATAATTTGGCGTTTTATTTTCAAAAAATCACGAGATTAGTACTAATATCTCAATCATAAACTACTATACTTACAATTTAATAAGAACTGTCAACTGGGTACTTTGTTCCTTACACAATAAACTGAATTTTAATATTTAAAATTAAACAATAAGAAATTGTAACAAAAAGTAATATTTTCTTGCATATTGTTTTATAATTTATCGTTTAAAAGAAAGCTAAATTATATTCATCAGTATAGGGTTTTGGAGACTATTAAGTTTTTGATTGAGATCATGATAATTACCATGTGCTCACTAGTGGCTAGCTTCGTGAGGGAATTCTCTGAGTTCTAGTAAGAAGCCGTGACCAGTGGAACTAATCAAAGTCAGATAGAGACAAGTATCTAACTCAGACGATGGAAGATGGTCGAGTAATTTTGTAGATTGTTTGAAGTTGTACATTAACACCGTTGGATACTGGCTCAGTGGTCTACAGGTTAAACGTTCGCGCACTAGACTGAAGGCCCTGAGTTCGAATTCCGCGAGCGGGATTGGAGATGCGCACTGCTGAGGAGTCCCACAACAGAACGAAACGGCTGTTCAGTGCTTCCAGGTTTCCAGTGGTGGTCTAACATCAATCGGTTCATGATCTCAATCAAAAACAATAAGTCATATTCATTTTCAAATAGTGTTAAAACTTAATTGATAATGCACATACATACACATGCCACTGTTTAATTAGTAAGTAATAAGACATTATTTCAATACCATTGGCAGCGACACCAAATGTAGTGGAGAAGAACACAGGTGAGGACAATTGATTATATTTAGCACAAAATTGCAGAGTTACTTGGTACAATAGAAAAGAACTCATATTCCAATATTTCATTTGCTAAATGTTCATTAATTGTCTCAGGCTTCATTGTTCCTGTTCTTCCCTTTTCAATCCTTCCAACCCTTTTTGCTACCAAATATTCTCTCCCTGACTAGCGCTACATACTACTTATGTCGACATAAGTAGCACACACCATACTATTAGTGGTACTTCTTGAAATTAGTATTATCAATTCATAAAAAAAGTCTACAATGAGAGAAAAAAAGAATCAACAAATCGTTCCAATTATTATTATACTTTGTTTTAACCTACTGATCATGTAACTTAGTTCCAAATAAAAAAACAAACACATATGAATGAGTTCAATTAAGAATTAGATTTAGGAGTAAATGTTCATAGAACTCTCATTTCCACACTTTAAATGTTCAGTAATTTTTTTAGTCTACAAAAAGTTGTTAGTTTTCTTTTTTTTTTCATTTTATGAAACAGTATTATTTATAATTCATATTAAACAATTCATTATGAAATAAGGTAGAAAACAATACTCTACTGTTTACATTGCAATATTAAACAATATGATCTGAAAAATTGACTAATTTGACATTAAAGATAATGCTGATGATGATGATGTCTTGTTGTGGTGTATTCTGAATTTTCCAAATCATTGACTAACATTCTGTTAAAAACTACTAAAAAAAGAAAGAAAACTAATAGGTACATGAGTTGTTTTTATCCTCATTTAGTATAGAGATAATAATGTGATAAAATGCTTGACAATATTGATCCAGTTCACTTTTTTAAAATCTTAATCATTTCGAGATAGTAACGCAATTATAATTCAGTGATATCAAAGATCATTCTTGTACTTTCAACATCGTTGAATGTAACTGATCATATCGGTTCATCAAGAAATTCTATTAAATCTGATTAAAATGTAGTGGATTTTTAATTGGATATAGGAAATAAATACTCAGAAATAATAAGACATAAAGTTTACTGTTAATATCATTCAATGGACAAACTCACAGTTCGTGGCTGTCGTATTACCCTACAAAATTAAAGGTCATTAAACAATAATCTAATTGTGAAATTCGGATAGTTGTATTTACCTAGATTCATCAGCTGAGATGGGTATCCGTCTCACAAACAGCATGATTGAATTTCAATGATCACGGCTTCTCAGCAGTACTCCATGAGTTGGATCTCGAAGCCGATCACTAGTAAACATGTGATTACTATAAGCATGATGGGATTTGTGGAGATTGAGGAATTTCTCATTTCTAAATTAGAGATTGTATATGGGCACTTATGGGGAGTTTTATATTCGTGCGAAACGACCTTTCGGTATTTCAATGTTTTCAACTACTTTCTAACTGGGATCCATTTATGATTTAAATTATGAAAATTCATACATTTATGTCGTATAGCAACTAGTCATATTAAGACATTAAAAATTGTTGTTCCATACAAAGTAGAATGATAATATTATGAATAAATAGAAAATAAAAAAGTTATGTAATCACTAGATAAATAAGCACGAAAAACGATAATTACTAGAAAAACAAAGTTTGAATACGTTATTTATTATAGAATCAATCATTTTAGTCATTCTACATCGAAACTCAATAGATAAACTACAATCAATCATTTTAATTGGTTGAAGACAATTGATAGGAATCTCTAGATTACAATTTTATGCTGATTGGCTATCATCAACAAGACATATCTGCAGTTTTGAATAAAATAATATTAATATCAGATGGGTTTTGTGGATATTATAGTAATTTCAATGATTAAGATCATGAGTCAATTGAAGCTAGACCACCATGGAAATCCTGAAAGCCCTGGACGGCCGTTTCGTCCTATTGTGGGACTCCTCAGTAGTGATTGAAATTACTATAATATCCACAAAACCCATCTGATATTAATCAACATACGCTCACTAGTGACTGGCTTCATGAGGTATATCTTGGAGTCTTAGTGAGAAGTAGTGACCAGTGGAGTTCAACCAGGTCTGTTGTGAGATAGTAACTCACTGAAGACAATGGTGGATGTGTCGCTCAATTTCGTGGATTAGTTGGAGTTATACATTAACACCGTTGGATGCCGGCTCAGTGGTCTAGTGGTTAAGTGCTCGCGCGCGGAACCAGTAGGTCCTGGGTTCGGATCTCGCAGGGGGCGAGGTCGTGGATGCGCACTGCTGAGGAGTCCCACAATAGGACGAAACGGCCGTCCAGTGCTTCCAGGTTTTCCATGGTGGTTTAGATTCAACTGACTCATGATCTTAATCATTGAGGATAATATTATCCAACATGATCTTCGCCGACGTCAATTGATTTTGTATTCACCGACCATATCATGGAGCTATTTATTATGTGACTAGCTTGATATACGACTAACTCTACAACACTGTCTGTTTACTGGATAGAATATAATAAATATCACAGAATAAACAAATATAAAAGTAATTATTATATACTAATCAATTGTATTACAATGAACTATGTTTGAATTGAATGATAGTCAACATCTAATTAATAATATTCAACAAACTTATTGACTTCTACAATTGATATTTCTCTTCATTCTTAAAATTCTCATTTAAACCAATTTTTCTATCGTATGAACTATTTGTATTATTCATTCGCCTTTTTAAAAAATTATTGTTTATATTTAGGTGAAAAACCATTTGTTTGTGAATTCGAAGGATGTGATCGTCGATTTGCTAATAGTTCCGATAGAAAAAAGCATATGCATGTACATATGAATGATAAACCATATTTTTGTCGATTTAAAGGATGTGATAAAAGTTATACACATCCTAGTTCATTACGTAAACATTTACGTGTACATTATTTATCACCGAATGATGCATTAAATCCAACAGACTATGATACACACTCGAACTCAAGTGATACAATCAATAATAATAATAATAATAATAATAATAATAATAATAATAATAATAATAATAGTGACAATAATCAACTTAATACAAATGATTCACGTACATGTACACGTACTAATAACATGAATATGACAGAAGTTCTAACACGTGAGTCTCATAATTCTGTTAATCCTACAAATTATTTTTATCCTATGATGAATCGAGATAATGTTGATTGTTTACGTAATAATAATTGTACTGGTAATAGTACTACTACTAATCACAATAATAATAATAACAATTGTACTAGTACACTGAATAAATTGAGAAAAAAAACTCAAGATAGTCCTATACATACTTCAGATTTTCTATTACGTAAAGCTTCAAGAAAACGTCATTATTCTACTAGAAATGAATGTGATTCAGAGAGTTTTACACATGTTAATACAACTACAACTACTAATATAACTAATAGTAGTAATAATATTCGATCACCATATTCAAAAGATTTTATGTCACAGTTAGCAGCAGTAGTATGTGGTCCAACTGAAAAAGAAATTAAATCCCAACGAAATAATTTAATTTATAATGAATTTCAAGGAACAGTTCAACAACATTCTGAAAATATTTCACAATTTCGTAATGATACATTTATGTGGGGACAATTGGATAATGAACTCCCTATAACAAATAACCGTAATAATAATTATAAGAAAACAAATACTAATCTATCTTATTTATCATCCAATCATAATATTGATCCATTTTTATCAAATTCACGTATGTATTCATCATTAAATTTTGGACAGTCTTTATCAACACAACATGAAATGAATATAGATAGTGTAAAGATGAAATCTGATCTATTGAATTTAAATCGCTCTTATGAATTACATAACAATGTAATTAGTAATAATAATAGTAATCCATATGTTAATTTACATCACCAACAACATGAAGAACAAATGGATCATTTACAACATTCATCATCGCAATATGCATTGAATGAATATACTCAAAATTTATTTCATGCAAATGATTTTTTAATGGAAACTCAAAAAAATTTTGGATTAATAAAACATCCTTATTATCATACTCAACAACAACAACAACAACAACGTCAAGGATCATATTGTTTCTTACCATCATCACATCAATATCATTCCGATAGCCAACAACCTCAAGAATCTCAACATTTTCAACGGCAACAAATGAATTCCTCTCCAAAATTATATAATAATTTATATTCACTTGAGACAAATCTTTTATATCCATGTAATGATAATAATAATAATAGTACTAATTCACAATCTATACATAATTTACAACAGCATCAAAAACATTTAACATCAGAGAATTTACTAACACAACAATCACAACAACATTCAGTCTATTCAGAAACTAGTCATCAGTCGAATTCAACTGATTCTGACTTAGAAAATAGTAGTATTTTATTTAAAACTAATTTATCAGCAAATAATTCATTTATAAATAATAATAATAATAATAATAGTAATAGTAATAATAATAATTCGATTACATCTTGCACTGGTAATATTCTGTCAACAATAAATAATGATCATAATAATTTATCCATTACAAATGTACCAGTAATTTCTACACCGACTATCATGACAAGTTGTGAAACAAATTCATCAACAATTTCATTATTCTCACAATTGAATGAAAATAAATTAAAAGAGAATTTACAAGTGAATGATAATAATAATAATAATAATAATAATAATAATAATAATAATAGTTCTACGGATTTATCATTATCAGAGACATTAACATGTGGAGTACAATTTCCTGTAGCTAATTCATTATCAAATTGGCTTTCATTAAATAATAGAAATGGAATATCAGTTACAAATTATTTAGGATGGTCAATGTTAAATAATGATAAAACAATGATCACATCTAACATAAATAATAATACTGATGAATTAACTCATCACTCATTAGACAAGAACAATAATACTAATAATAATCAGACAGATAGGATAAACAGTATTGATCGTATACCATCAACGGTACATCATCAAATGAAATGTTGTGAGAATTTTGATAATATTCCCTTATCGAACAATAATAATAATGATGATAATAGTAGTAGTAGTTTTCTTAATAACGATAACGAGAAAGATACCAGTAATCAATGTACATTCACAAAAAATAAAATAAAAGATCCAGTAATTTCCCCGTATATTTCAAATTGTGCATTTTCATATATTTGTAGTTCAGATGATGAGCATAAATTGCATGATAAAGAAGAAAATGATCAACGAAATAAAATAGTTGAATATAAGAATGATTATATTGACAACTACTATTCATCATCATCTTCTACAATAATAGATTGTGTTAATGATTCTTCAACTTTATGCTCAATGATAAATAATTCAGTTATTCATGGAAATATTAACAAGACTAATGCCGGTACTACTTCTCTTTCGGTTACAACTACTACTATTACTACTAATGCTAATAATGATGATAATAATAATAATAATGATAAATAGCATATGTAACACTTTACAAGTTAAATAATTCAATTTCTAATCTATTTTTTCATACTTCCATTATAATTCTCTTCTACTGAAGATTATTTATTTACGTAATTCATTTGTCCATTTGATTATCTCCGATCCCTCTCCCCGGTGTACATAAATATATTCATTGTTTTATCAGCTCTTATTTTCGGTTCTAATTTATATGAAAAAATATATATGAAAGATTTTAATTGTGCCAAAAAGCTCATAGAATAATTTTCCTACAAAGTCAAACTTCACTCATTGACAGTATTGTTTTTTTTCGAATACTTTTATTATGACCATCATGTTAAGTCTCATGTTAAGTCGCTAACGTAAAATAAACCAAACACACTCTATTTATTTCATATTATAATTGAATTACACAGTTTTGTGTTCAGGATTTTCTTCTGTTTTCTCTTATTCTACTAGAACTTTTCAGTATCATGTCCCTATCTATTCCATTTTATTCACGCCATTTTTTCTGTCATTATTTTATCCAATTCTATAGAATATTATTCTTAGACTACTTCCAATAGTTATGTTACATTCATTATCTTCATAGTTTCTCATTCATTCACTCACTCACTCACTTACTTTCTATCGCATATCCCCCGAACTATTATCTACATCTTTTTTATCACATAAACGAAAATCTCTACTTAGTTGTTTGTTTATTCATTTATACTCTTACCATTCTTCTTTATTTTCTCAATGAGAAAACATAAGAAACAGTTTTTTTACAAGAAAAAAAAGGACTTTTCTTTAGATATTCTTTATTTGTGTTTATGATGAAGTTAACAGTAACATTGACGATGAAATCATTCTCCTTTTTTTAAACTCAGAAATGTAGATATAATAATAATATACATTTATCACTGTTAACTTGATGATGTAATAGGTTATTACATAACAGAATAAATTTTATGTTTTAAAATAAACGATTGAATTATTGAATATCTTTTCTTTTTGGAATTATTTCTGAATATCATCTTCAGTATACCGAATTTTAATTAAAAATCAGTTATTTGATGGGTATATATATTGAACTTGTTAACGACTTGTTAACTAGGTTGAAGATTAGATCCATGTTTTCTTGCTGATTGTCTTCAAGTTTTTGTTATAAAAATATAGCTCTTCTTATTGTGATAAAGTAAACAAATAATTGGTGTTATTATAAGGTTATATGAAAAAAGTTTTGTTTAAATTTATGAATTTTGGTTGACACTGAAGTTTTGACCTATTGGTTATCATAAACAACATTGAAATTGAGTCTAAGATTAAATAGTTCATACTCATTATTTACTAGTTTTTGGAAAGATTATTTAATTGTACCATCAGTAATTCATTGTAAAATAAGTTAATGTTGGTTCTTTTTTATACGCAGTTTCAAGAACGCTGTGTGTTTAATGCGATCGAAAGTTAAACTGAGTTGTCACATTATATTAGCGTGACGAGATGAAGTTAACAAGATAAACAGAATTTAGATGAAAATATTTTGGTAGTCACTGTTGTGAAAAAGACTGAATGTCTGAAAGGTATGTATGAAGGAACACTGGAAGTCAATATATAAGGGTAGATAAAGAATCAATGAATCTGTAAAACTGTGATCAATTTTCAGCCAGTATCACTTAACGTCTCCAACTACTGATAGCAGTTATCGCACAAATTACAAACAGGTGATCTGAATCTTTCCACACGACTTAGTTCAAATGACGATGAGTTCACAGTGTGATGTCAAGTTTTTTTCTGGTGATCACTAGCTTCCTTTCAACCTACTCGTACGCCAGACAGCATTGTCCATCGAGATGGACGGTTTTCAGGCATGCATAATACATGTTCTAACCACCTTAGTTGATGAAAATACAAGAATTCATCAATTATTTTATTATCTTTGCCTATTACCCTATACATAACCGTAGCATTTCTCCCCCACTTCCTTCATGTCACACGAGCAATGCTTAAAAGGCATCCGTAATCAAATATTAGTAGCCAGCGAATATCCGCTGGTGAAAAGAGGGATACTGGGAAACCCAGTTCAAACACCGCTTGGGGTTAATTCTCATGAATATTCTCCATAAGCTGTGACATGGGCAGTAGTATCCAAATAGAGAGCTTTCACAAGGTTTATATGCTTGAGTAGCGTGACCCTAAATGACCAACGATTACGGGTAACGCAGTCATATGGCATCTTAAGGTTAGGAAATGCAACTTTATTCGGTATTTGGAAATTACGGTCACGTTCTGGAACCTGAATAAGGGTAAATACTTGAGCACTACATCCACATCTAGATCTAAAACCCTCCTGGTTTCCCAGAGTTTCCTGTTCATGAGACTAATATTTTAGTTATAATATTAATCAGACCGATTACTCTGTTGTTATAATAAGATGAGTTCTGTTCTATTTTTAAGAACTTCAACGATCACCAAACGAGACCAATCAGATGGAATTATGTCTAATTCTTAAGATGTAACTTATATATCAGGCAACTAAACTGTTAATAGTCGACCACCTTATTTACAAACATCTAGAGTTAACCAAACGGTTTCTGCTACTTTCACTCGTTTCATATTGGATATGGCATTTTCAACATCATTAAGATTTGGAGGGAGGTATTAATTTCGCATTCATATTGTTTTGAGATAGTTTAACTGTTTTTAAAGTGCTTTATCCTCGTTTTACTCTTCTAAATCTAAAGTGGATAATAGCTTCTTTTTTTCTGAAATAGTCTCATTAACAGCTGGCTTTTTACTACTCGTCTTCCTGGTCAATTGGTAGATTAATCTGATGCTACCCATAGTTGATGCTTTTTTATTTCCCTCTTGCTTTTAGTGATCGTTCCTGATAACGATCCTTCCGCAAACTTTTTGTTAGCCAATGGTTGAACTGTCATCGCTCTTCATCATTCTCTCAAGGATGCGTTTTCGAGCAGCTATTAATGCAGTAAATGCTACTAAAATTCATTGGTCTTTCTTAACTTTTTAATTTAAGTTAGTATCAAATATCGGCATTGGATTTACAAATGTTCATATATCATTCCAAGCTTCTTCTGGACGAACATTTTCGATTAAACCTTCAACTAGTTCTTCCCTGAAGTCATTTTTCACCTTTTCATTTTTGAATTGAGCTCTACAAAGTCCTTCCATCGTGACACTTTTACATCCACTAAAACATATACATACTCCCACTAAAACATGATTGAAGTCCAAGCATGTGCTCCAGAAGGAGTGGTAGTCTTTTAACAATACCTGATGAATATATATTTTATTTGTGCCAATTATTGTGTTGATGTTAGAAGTCATTAGGTTAGGCAGTGTTTCTTATCATGCTTAAAGTTTGTCCTTGCTAGGTATCAGCAATTGCTATAAGATCATTTTAAATTTTTCGAGTTTGACTAGGCCCACTAACTTGGGCTTTAGAAACATTTAATACGACTAAAACGTCTGAGTTAATGACTTTGTGAAGGAAGACAAGAAGCTTCCCGTAAAATTGTTTTACTTCATTCAGGTTGCAGTTAGTGAGGAGGGGGTATAGATTGAAAAGGCAGAAAGGCAACGAAGTATGTTCCGAATCCTTATTATCCCACTAAAACAGACAGTACATAAGTAAATGCTGACCCGAAATTCAGTTAATTAGTAATTGCTCTGGTTTCAAACTTAATGCTATATGTATACCAATCAAACCACGGCAAGTTGCTGTCACTTCCGCAGATATATGAAATGTAACTAAATGATTAGCCTGTACATGTGTTTCAGAGACAGTGTACATTGGTAATATAAGAGTCTATAGACTTAGCTAGTGAGGCCTGGTGTCCTGTTTGATATATGGTTTGAAGACATATCAGTAACAAGTCCTTTGAGTACGACTGCTATTATTGGTACTAATATAAAACAGTTTAGATGTTTGAACCTGTACTTCATGAAGTTGAGATAAGTATGCACTTGAAACGATGGTAATTTGTGGCTCAATTAAGCACTATTTTATAATTTTAAAAGTAATTTAATGTGTTCAGTCACAATTAGTTAGTTCATCTATTCTTAGTATTTTATTTGAATATTTTACTGAATTAAGAATAAAATAATCTCCATTATTTAACCAAGATTTATTTTAACAGTTTCGAACTAATTCAATTCATTTAACCTTATTTAATCAGGTAGAGGTTTTGTGGATATTATAGTAAATTAACAGTTGAATTCATAAGTCAATTAATGCTAGATCACCATGAAAAACCTGGAAGCAATGGACGGCCATTTCGTTCTAGTATGGAACGTCTCAGCAGTGCGAATCCACGATCTCCCCCCTCCCCCCGCAGGATTCGAACCCAGGACCTATCCGTCTTGCACGCGAGCGCTTAACCTCCAGACCACTGAGCCAACATCCGACGCTGTTTTAATTGGTTAATTATTTCAGGCTAACATTCTTTTCAGTCTGGCAATAAATCAATAGAATTATGTTTAGATCTTATTTTTTTTCTTATTGCATTAACAAATTGTTGTGGTCCTGTACGATTGTCCTCAACATTATTATTATTAATATTACTTACTTACTTACTTACTTACACCTGTTACTCCTCGTGAAGGAGCATAGGTCGCTCACCAGCATTCTCTATCCAACCCTGTCCTGGGCAATCCTTTCCAGCTCCTTCCAGTTGTAATTCATCCTTTTCATATCTGCTTCTATTATCCGACGTAATGTGTTCTTTGGCCTTCCTCTTTTCCGCTTCCCTTCAGGATTCCAAGTTAGAGCTTGCCTCGTGATGCAGTTTGACGATTTGCGTAATGTATGTCCTATCCATTTCCATCGTCTTTTCATAATTTCCTCTTCAGCTGGAAGTTGGTTTGTTCTCTCCCACAGAAGGCTATTGCTGATGGTATCCGGCCAATGGATGTTGAGTATCTTGCGTAGACAGCTATTTATAAATACTTGTACTTTCTTGATTGTGGTTGTTGTAGTTCTCCAAGTTTCAGCTCCATACAGTAGAATTGCCTTGACGTCCGTATTGAAGATTCTTACTTTGATATTGGTTGAAAGTTGTTTTGAGTTCCATATGTTCTTCAATTGTAGGAATGCGGCCCTTGCTTTGCCACTCCTCGCCTTTACGTCTGCATCTGAACCTCCTTGTCTATCGACGATGCTTCCCAGATATGTGAAGGATTCTACATCTTCCAGAGTTTCGCCATCAAGGGTGATTGGATTGCTGTTCTCCGCTTTGAATGTGAGGACTTTGGTTTTCCCTTTGTGTATACTGAGGCCTACTGATGCAGAGACTGCTGCTACATTGGCTGTTTTCATCTGCATCGGTTCGTGTGTACGTGATAGGAGGGCTAGGTCATCTGCGAAGTCCAGATCGTCTA